GCCAGCCCGCTGAGTCCATCCGATCCGCGAAAACGGGGTACAATACAATACAATAGAAGGTGTCTCAATGTGGGCATCACGCCAAAGGCCCTCCTGTTTTATTCTTTTCTTCACCTTGTCCACCCTGCAAGGTGGTGCCTCATCCAAATTACTGCGACCGCTAAAAAGCAGATCTAACCCATGCTCTCAACATCCATCCCGTTTGGGGTACCTGGTTATACGTGCTAAAGTACCTTGCCCAGGGTGGACGCCAGAAGTGGAGGGACGAGGGGGAAAGGCACAGGTACAAGTACAAGTCAAGCACGTTCCCAGTGCCCCTGGCGTCAGGTACGCATTGAGCACATGTGGACATGTGGTCTTAATGGATCCTCAGATTCTACTTGTATAGGGCATGAAGCAAGCCACAGAAAAGCACCATTGAATGAATAGTTACGTCTATTTAGTAGGGGCCAACTTTTTTTTTTTCTTTCCATCTTTCTGTGTCTTCCATGTGAGCACACGCGCCATCGTATCTGAAACGCCTCGGTGGCCCCGGCTAGAGAACCGCTCTTTCAGGGGTTCCAAGCCATGTGATTGGGCCTATTGGCGGCAATTCCCCACCTTGGGGTGGCAGGGCAAAGCAGTCAGCATACTTGCAAGTACTGTGTACAAGCGCTCCAGGGCATTTTGATGCACTTGGCATCTCCCTTGCAGGGCCACCAGACATCAACTCAGGAACATCAAATGACAGCTCGGTGCCTCCTTGCAGCTCACTACTGAGGTGGGCAGGCAGACTGCTCGTACAAATACCTACTGCCCAGATAGGAAGCAAGTATGGATCTCAATGAGTGATTTGTTGTATACCAGGTACTATATAGTAGTGTCTGGCAATCTATATCAATGGATCTAATTGATTCAACTAGATTGTCAATACCAGTATCAAGTCTGAATCAAGCTTGTACTCAAGTACAGTACTGTGCCATACCCCTGGATGCAAATCTTCCGCGCTTGCTGTAAGAGATGTGTCTCCTCCGTACTAACCTGAACCCATCAAGCCAAAGGCAAGAGGTAAGAGGTACTTGCAGGTGTTCGTCATCACTCCCGCGCTAAGCATTGTCCGACACACATTCTCCCCAATCCGGCCGGTAGCACGAGCCCAAAAAGAACCATGAGCGACTAGAGATTGCATATTGGATCGACGCATATTCAACTTTGCCCTTTTCCCTGCTAAAATCCATACTAACTCACCTAGTGCCTACTACTAAAATATTAAGAAGGTCCCTGAGACTGTAGTACGGGCCATGATCTTGTACATTGACATTGTACGTGCTAACGTCTGCCAATGCTGCATCACTTTTGCATTCTGCCTGCAGACAATTGTCCATGTGACTGTTTAGCACCTGGGAGAGGCATTCTTATTGGGCCACCATTGACAACCTCCGCATTAGCAGCGTCAATAACGCACTCCATCGAGCCCATCTCGATGCGATTCAATTATCCGGTGCTGCTTGACATATGGCGCACAGCGGACACGTCGCTTTCACAACCAAGACGGTGTCGGGCCGTGAACCTCAAAGCCATGATGCGTCGATACGAACTTGCAGCTGCAACGTCATGCGCAATACGAACCAAGACAGGCACCCTGTGATGCGCCATTGTCTTCCATTCCATTACGAGCAACTCCTGACAGAGCTGTCAGATTCTCATCAAACGCACAGCCACTTCTTCAGCTATTGATAGCTATCGAGCAATCTCGGTAATGTTCGTTACGCGCGACTCCGTTCAGACTCCTCTCTCACAACACTTTTTACTGAGCGCCGGCTCAGAAAAGCTCCCGAGGGGGCCTGTTAGTAGTACGAGCATCTACAAGGTAAGAAGCCAGTTGCGGGCGCCTCCGGAGTTAGTAGATCCATATCCTTGAGGTGAAGACAAAGAAAAAGAAAGCTGAGGAGAAAAGAGACGCATAAACAGCCAAATGAACCCCTATAGTTGTAAAGCATCCCCTTTTTTGTAAGGGGTTGCAAGTCAGTTCATGCTGAAATGCTGATGTGATGCTGTTTCTGGCTCGTGAGACTGATTACATAATCATTTTCAACGTCATCAGCCAGCGCCTCATCGTTGAAGCCACACTTTGATGCTGGAGCTTTGGTACTTGGCAAACCACTTCCCCAACGATCATCATGGCCGAGGCAACTGGAAATTCCGAAGGCCCAAAGCTTGCCACAGATGCTCATGTAAAATATGTCCTGAGCTTGGACACCAAGACCGATGAGCTGGACTACTGGATGACTGAGCATCTACGGCTAAACGGTGCATATTGGGGCCTGTCTGCGCTCCATTTCCTAAGTCGCCCTGAGGCTCTGCCGCGCAAGGACACCATCGACTTTGTTCTCTCCTGCCAGCACGAAAATGGTGGCTTTGGAGCTGCTCCTGGACATGATGCCCACCTGCTCTCCACGGTAAGTGCCGTGCAGATTCTCGCCATGGTTGATGGCTTCGATGAGCTGGAAGCACGAGGGAAGGGAAAGGCTGTTGTTGGCAAGTGTAGGTGCTGACGAATATCTCTGCCTAAATGGAACATCACTGGTATCCTAACACACATCACAGTCTTAGCGGACCTTCAAAATCCTGAGAGTGGAAGCTTCTTTGGCGATGAGTGGGGTGAAGAGGACACAAGATTTCTATACGCCGCCCTCAACGCTCTATCGCTACTAGGCCTTTTGTCTCTTGTAGACGTTGATAAAGCCGTTGCTCACGTAGTCTCTTGCACAAACTTTGACGGCGGCTATGGGGCCAAGCCAGGAGCAGAGTCTCATGCTGCCCAGGTCTTTACCTGCGTCGCTGCCCTCGCCATCGCTGGACGCCTTGACCTTGTAGAGCACGAGAAGCTCGGCCGGTGGCTGAGCGAGAGACAGCTTCCAGGAGGCGGGCTCAACGGCCGGCCCGAGAAGCAGGAGGACGTTTGCTACAGTTGGTGGGTGTTGAGCAGCCTTGCCATCATCGACCGTGTCCACTGGATCGAGAAGCAGGCACTGATCAACTTCATCTTGAACTGTCAAGATCCCGATAACGGCGGGTTTTCCGACAGGCCCGGTAACATGGTGGACGTTTGGCACACGTGCTTCGGTGCCGCAGGGCTGAGCTTACTTGGGTACCCTGGCATGGAACCTGTGGATCCGAGATATTGCATGCCCAAGAAGATTGTGGCGAGAGTCTTAGGGGAATGAAGTCGACAACAGATACTGCATTTAGTATGCATACAATGTTTGTCTTATACCTTGTCGTCACCAGTGGCCCTCTCGAATCACCCTCCCGTTACGAGTCGCTTGTTAATGGCATTGCACAATGGCCAGTGAGATGCTGTGTCGGAAGAGAGAAGAGTATTAGGGGTTTAGAGGCATCTCACACTGCCTTTGCCTTAGAATATCCAGCAGGCAAGCCAACGTAAGGTAGCCTTACCTTCCAGTCATGCCAGACTTGGTCCGTAGGACGAGACTTGGGGCTTTAGGATTACCCTAGAAGTGATACAGACCAGGCCTTCAATAGCGAAACAAAAGAAAAAACACAGCCAATTTTGGACAAACTTATAGCTCGAGAGATCTAATGTATTATGGTTGTTCTTGGAAGTCTACTATACTTGTGCATCTATTCCTTGGATGCTGCCGCAGTTCACTATCGTCTCATGACACTATCGCCTGTTTATTGTAAAATCTAGGTTGACAGAAAGACAATTGTTCGCATATCTTCTCCAATAGAACTCTTCCAATATAACACCACGAAAGAAAAGGCGATGACAATTTGCCCAGCATTATCATCAAACTTGCAAGTCGAATTAAAGCAAGTGTGGAAGAAATTCCGAGCTGACTGTTGTGCCCCTCTGTACCCGCCATTGAAGATGCTAAAGAAACTTGCAAGAAATAAAGACCTAGCACCTGCCTACCTTTTAGAAACTGCCAAGCAATGGAGATATATGCATGACATAGATACTCAGATAATTGTTGCGTCTTATTAATTGCGAGCTGTGTCTTTTTTATCTGTTGTGGCTTACCTGTACCATGCACCTCAGGACAGGTACTCGGTACTTTGTACCTTTCCTTCTGATATCGACGCTGCTATCAGTAGTTTTTGAAGAAGGAAGGCACGATGCCGTCATATTTCCTCACCCAAGGAGGACTAGCCCCCCTGGTTCCCTCAGGCAGAAAGGAAACTCAGGTCGAAGGGCGAAGTTGCTCTTCTTCTCTGCATTTCCAAGCAATGAGAAGCAGCGTCTCGATACCCTCATTACCGCAGATTCGCGGGTTGATCGAGGTTCTTGCCAGGAAATCGTCCCGTGATGCTTCGTGACCGCGCCTCCAACAGCAACACCATGGATTCTTCCTTCTCTGCAAAGAATTTGCGGCGAATTCCAGAGCTGCCTCTTCGCTTAGGCGAGTCTGTTCTGTCTTGGGACGGAAGAGAGTCCGCTCTGGAGTTTCACAGGGCCACCGAGATGCCCCCATGGGCAGCATCTTCTGGAGTGCTGCTGCCTCCACCGCTAGCCGTGATCAAGCCTTGCCCAGATATGGACGGCTACTATCCCATGGTAAGACACATGACTTCTACTTCTGCTTCTACTTCTATTTCCATCTCCGAGCCAACCTTCTCTTCTGTCCGCGCTTGAACGAGCCTTTCTCTTCTCTGCTGACCCAACCGCTTCTTCCCTCCTATACCCGCCTACCCAGTTGCTCTTTTCTGAATCACGTCACTCTTTACCCTTGCTTCTTTGTTTTTGGTGTCACTCCAAGGACCACAGCTCTCGTCTTTCTTTTCCGTCTTGTGCTTGCTGCTACTGTTGCTATCGCTGTTTTCCTGCCCCGGCGTCACATCTTGCAATCAGCCTGGCCTTCCGGGTCATGAACAGGTCAGACTTCTCGAAAATCTTCTCGTGACTGTACATATCCCATGAATTGTTTCAAAGCAATGCCCTTTTTTCGTCCCCAATCTTTGATTCAAGAGCCGCGACTAATGATTTGGGACAGGACATGGCATCAGTGGTTACCGCTGGGAGCTCGTCTGGTTCCGGAAGCAAACAAATTCCTTTGCACTGCACCGTTTGCCCTGAGACGCCACGCTTCTCTGATGTGTCACACTTGCTCACCCACATTGCCTCCAAAGGCCATCTTCATCATGAAACCCAAACAAAGCTGAAGGCTCATCAAGACGTTGCGGCCTCTGTATCACTTCAACGGTATGAGCAGTGGTATAAAGACAATGGCATCGAGGGCCTGCTTGTCGAGAGGATGAAGGCAAAGCAGCTGAAAGAGGCTGCGAGAAGCAAACGAGCCAGAGGAGCGGCGTCGCTTGCGGCTTCAAAGGTATGTACTCGCTGCGGCTTGAGCAAATCTGTACCAGTGCGCTGATTGCATAGGAGCAACCCAAGAGGAAAATTAAGCGGACTGAATCCGATACACTCGTGAAGAACGAACGTGAAGACTTTCCTCCAGACTTCCCCATGTTTCCGGGATTCTATCCATCGGACAATGAAAACGAGGTCCAAGACGACTATTTCGGAGCGGGAGATATGATGGCGCTGAAAGGTCAGGTATGGCCAGGGATGGGCAAAATGGATTTGGCAAATGAGGATATGAAACGCACTCGCAATCAAAGAAAGCCCAAGTCAGTCATTGAGAAAATGAGAAGAACATCAGAAGGCATTGAGCCAACACAAGTCGTCATGACGGCCGAGTTTGAAGTGGAAATAATCAAGGATGTTTATGACAGCTCTTCGCCAGTGCCGGATCAAGAAGACGCGGTTCGTTCCCAACGCCCACACTATTCAAGTGCACAGAACTGACATTTTCCAGACTCCTGTCAAAAAGACTGCGAAACCTCGCCGAAAGCGCGGAGAGCCACTTGCTGAAATCTCTGCCAACATTCCCCGAGGCGGAAATCGCCGTCTCACACGCGACAATGCTGGCCACGGAAAGAGTTCCAAACCGCTTCTAGCATTCAGCCGAACTCCAAGCTCTGATATCACGCCAACTCTTGGGCAGTTCAAGCGTTCTCATGATATTTTTCGGGACGATGACAAGATTCCCAGTAGGCATTCCTGTTTCCGTTTCCCTCATAATCACAATGCTGACTCGGTATAGGTGTCTATGATGGTCGTACCTTGTCCAATGCATCCCACAGAGAACCAAGGTAATATTTGTGTGGTCAATTGCCTGCATAACCGAGAGGCCGAACTGATTTCTCTATAGCTTCGATCTCCGCAGCCGAATGGGACTCCACCAGTTGAACCCGATAGCGCACTCGAATATTGTGTCTCCAACACCTGGATCCAGAGATATCCCTGACCGAGGGTTTTCGACACGAGACCTCCATAGAGGTAGGGGCCAGGAGCAAGCCTATCTCAACATGAACGGACATGTGGGACTAGGTTTGTAGCACCCATATTTCAAATCGCTCTTTGCAATGCTAATCAAGACGTATGCCAGGCTCACTCAACCATTCGGATCTATCTTTTGCCTTGAATGGATCGTCAATCTATAATAATCCGCCGCGGTTTCCTTTCGCTGCAAGCAACCATTTCAACACTCTTACTCATGACCACTTTCGCCTTCCTTCAGGCCACACTACCCAGCATAAATTTGACGATTATGCAAGCACCAGTGCTAACGAAGGAAGCACGGTAGCAAACCACTACCTTGACATACCAAATACCAATCCTTTGTTTTCACAGGATCGCGTCTTCCTTGGTTCATGTGGCCAATCGGGTCCAGCGTCAAGCCTGTCTCCGTTGAGATTTACGTCGATTAATCATAATCAAGAAGCCTCTCATTCAATGCGCCAAAACCAGCCTCCCGCCAACATCAAACTCGAGCCACCCCAGCTTTGCGACGTCCTAGATGATGCGAGCATTGATGATGAAAAAGAGTCACGATTTCCTGGACAAGGTATTTGGGAGTCGCAAGGATCTGACAACGGCATCGACATCCACGAGGATCTCCGACACGATGAATTGGAGCTCTGATATTTCCTTTACTTGTTTCAACGGATGGATCGTTGACATAATATCCATTTCACTTATCCTCAACATGCGCCAATATCGGATGCTTTGTGAGAACGGTGCCGGCGCATGTTTATTTTCTTCATTATTTTCAGGCGAACAATCCTCTAGAGGCGCTTTACGGGGGGTTTCATGGTAGATCCAAACGAGGTGAGTTCCGAATAACTGCCCGGCTGTTTCCAATCGCTAAAAAATGCTGCCAGACAGAGCAAACGATATCTCTGCTGTTGCATGAGTTACGAAAGGCAATGATCAAGACGGTGGTTCAGCAACTTAATCGACACCGAGAGCCGAGGCCTAATAAGCTGCAGAGTCTTTTTCATGCAAAATGCCCGGTTCAGTCGATTATCATGGGATACAACAATGCATTTACAATAGAAGCACAATAGAGGCGACTTCTTACTCTCGGCGCATTGTATTTTGAGGATGGTGGGTATATGGCGAGGTATTTTGCGATTTTCTTTATGGGACGATTCTACAATCATTCTACAGCTTGGGTTTATACTGGACGAGCCGTTTACAATAGTGATAGTCAATTTGAACAAAATAGCCCAGTTGGCAAGCTTATTTTGTCTGTCTGGAGGATGAACACAGGCAAGGTCATGGGAGAAACAATCTTGGCGTTCGTATGATTCCATATTGATATTCAGATATGATAAATACAGCAGCTTTTCGCTTCTCATAAACCCAGGTACCCCATTAAATGCTACGGCAGACGTTGCCAAAAAGAAAACATGTGTAAATCCCTCGTACTCGTCGATATTCTAGTGATTATAGCTGCTCAATAGAGGAAATCAAGTGGTCTAATTGGTCTGGACCCGAATCTATGACATGGGCGAGGGTCCGGTATGCACCTTGCAGCCGTCGCCGCTTCATTTCATTCTCTAGTTGTTTCGACTTGCCCGCAGCAACGTCGATGACTTTCTTGGGAATGCGAGCCAAGCGGGCGACGTTTAGCCCATACGATCGATGAGCTATGCCCTCTCCTACTTCATACAGGAAGGTTATCTCTTCTTCACCGTCCTCTCCGGTCTGCGCGTTGAACTTCATGTGGACGTTTGTGACGCCGGGCAGGCCGTCGGCAACACGTGCGAGATTCTGGTAGTGGGTGATGAAGAGGGTCAGGCATCTGGTCTCGGTGACGACGTGCTGCAGGACGGACTGGGCAATGGCGGCGCCGTCGTGGGTGCTGGTGCCGCGGCCGAGCTCGTCGAGGATGACGAGGCTGCGGGGGGTGGCGGAGCGCAGGATGCGGGCCGTCTCGGAGACCTCGACCATGAATGTGGATTCGCCGGCGAAGAGGTTGTCTCTTGCGCCCGCGCGGGTGTGGATGGCGTCGCAGAGGGTGAGGGTGAGGGAGTCGGCGGGGACGAAGGAGCCGATCTGGGAGAGGAGGACGATGAGGGCGACGGCGCGGACAAAGGACGATTTGCCGCCCATGTTAGGGCCGGTGATGAGGTGTGCTAAGGCGGAGGGGTGGGAAAGCGTGGTGGTGAAGGGGATGTAGCTCCCTTCGAGCGTCTGCTCGGCGATGGGGTGGCGGCCTTGGGAGATGGAGATGGATGGTTCGGCGGTAGAGGGCAGGAATGTCGGTCTGCTGTAGCCGGGCTGAGCAGCGACCTTTGCGAGGGAGAGGAGGCAGTCGAGCGTGGCGAGGGCGGAGATAGCGTCTCGGAGAGGCTGATACTCTGATGCGATGGTGGCGAGGAAGTCTTTGAAGGCCTTGTCGCAGGCGGCGGCGAGAGCCTCTCGATGCTGGTCGCGCTCGGAAATGAGGCGGATGACTTCAGGGGTGTGGAACCGCGAGAGAGCCTTGGTGCCGGATATCTTGCTCCACGATGCAGGAACGTTCTTGATGTCTTTGTTGGGGACGGCGATGAGGTATTCGATGCCTGCGACGGTGACGTATTCGACACTCTTCTGCTTGATTTTCCCGGCAGCGACGGCGCGGTGTTGGTCGAGTTCGTGCTCGACGTGGGCGATTCCAAGCTGGTGATCTTGGATGTCTTCGGTATGGAACTCTTCCCGGAAGAATTCATACTTGTCGTCCTTCTTGGCAGCGTAGAGATTGATGCGCTCGAGATACGAGACGACGGAGTCCAGGATCTGGGGCAGGGTAGTGATGGCACTGACAATTAGTGGCGAGTCGAAGCCGACATCAGAGGCTGATTTGACGGAAGAGTAGTGGCTAGCAATCTTTTGTAGAGTCTGAAGCACGGATAGGAGCTCTGGCCTGGTGCATTTGCCGTAATAGATACGGATGAGACTGCGCTCAAGATCGGCCTTGGTCGTTGTGAGGAGCCTCTCCAGGTCATCAACAGGTGATGTGGATTGCTTGTCGAAAAGTTCCTGCACAGCGGCAAGGCGTTCGTCCAAACGCTCCCTATCAAGCAGTGGGCGGCCAACCCATTTTCGCAAGAGACGCTGGCCAAACCGGGTGAGGGTCTTGTCGACAGCCCAGAAGAGACTCCCCTTTTGGGAGTGATCGGTGGCGTTGCGGTAGACTTCGAGGCTCTCCAGCGTTGTGCCGTTGATGAGCATGTGAGATCGAGTGCTGAAGCTCTGAAAGTACTTTGTAAGGCCAAAGATGTGCTCTAGGCCGTATTCTTGCAAGTGGGTAATCATGGCGGACAGACAGATGGTGATGGCCTCAGGGAGCTTCAGGACTTTATCGAGTAGAGCGCTCGCAGTCTCATTATCTGAGGCTTCCTTGACTTGGTCGGCATAGAATTGCGTCACATGAGAATAAGCCTCGGCGGCCATGGTTTTGCTCTTGGGCACACGCTCAACACGAGAGCGATCACCAAACACGTTGGTGCTACTGCCTGATAGATGCTGTATCAGCTTATCAGTTCCCTTGGTGAGGTCGCCTACTATGAGGAACTCGCAAGGTGATATGTGCAACAACCGTGTCTCAATCTCGCTCCGCATGAAACCATCTTCAAAGGTGTCGTAGATGATGTCACCTGTGGCGGGCTGGACAGCTAGAACCCCGACATTGACGTTTTCATCAGTGCCGGAACCTTTGGTGGCCGTCTCTGTGATGCAAAGCAAGTAGCCGCCAGAGGGGGTGGAAGTGTCCTGGCTATCTAGCTCTCCATTCTCATCGATGTATGTGCCCTTCGTATAGAGATTGGTGAGTTTGCGGACAAAGGGAGCATTTCTGTTGTCGCCAGCTTTCTTCAGCGCCGCGGTTTCAATTTGGCGGACGACGCCAACTTTGTGCCCAGCAGCAACGAGGCGCTTCGCGTGAACGGGCAATCTGTGAACAGGAATGCTGGCCGACGCAAATCGATCTAGGTGAGCTTCTGAGGGATCTGGTGCAAGTCAGTGAGGAGTGTTGAAGAAATGGCCATGGATGGGAGGCACATACGCTCGTCATATCGCATTTTACCTGGTATACATACAATACCCAGCTCTTTGGCAGCCACGCGGGCATCGTCACCAAAGAATCGAAACTTGTATCCGACCTCGACGATGAGGATTGTGTCCATGTGCTTCCGCTTGATGTCCAAGAATTGCACTTCCATTGGGGTTAGCTTCCCAGTTTTTGAACCCTTCTTCTTTCCTTTTGTGGCAATTGGAGCTTCTTCCTCTTCGGGGTCTGCATCGGCATCGTCGTCATCGCCAGCGCCGGTGTCCTGTGCCTTCAGGGATCTCCAAGACAAGGCATCGGGATGGCCCAGTTTCTTGACGAATTTCCTATGCAGCTCTTCATTCCGCCTCCTCACTTGAGCATCATCGCTCTCGTTACCAGCGTCTTCTTGTGAATTCGATTCGTCGTAGCGATAGCGCTGCGCTCGTGACGAAGTCGGGCTTCGGTTGCTGGCCGTTGTAGGAACAGTAGAGTCATGGTGGAAAAAGGAGCTTTGCGCATCATTGTCTTCATCTCCTCTTGTTCTCTTTGCTGCCTTCTCAGCGACGCCATTGGACTTGTCGTTATCCTTTTCGAGCGGCCGTTTCCTTGACGGCAAATCCGCCTCCTTCACGGGGGTGGGCGAAGACGGCACCGCGGGCCGAGAAGACGGTGCAGCGGCATTGACGACGGCCTTGGGCGTGAAGAATGCAGTCAAAGACTTTTGCTTCTTCTCTGGTGCTTTTGAAACGGGCGTCATGTCGTAATTGATGGCGATAACCAAGAACCGCCGTCTTTTGCCATGCAATACTCTGTACTTCTTTGTAAGAGACGACAAGCTACAATTTGGCTGGCAAGAGCGAACCTCTCAACGCGTCCAGCTTTGGAGTGCGCGTTGGGAAGCCCCATACTTTGCCTATTTAGGAAATATCGACGTCAGGGGACTTCTTATCTTATCGAGTAGCACCTCCCAGTAAGTACATAAGTACATGCATGTCAGTACAGGTCCCCAAGGCCATCTTGTTCATGTTCTGCCAACGGAAAGCTATGATAATACTGAATCTTTAACTCATACAAGCTCAAGTCCATATGCTTTCGTCAAGGCGAACTCGCAAGGGTTTCCACAGAACGGGTCCAAGCAGTAGGACGTGTCGCAGCTAGCAGCAAATCTAGGGTTGCACAGCACAGCACAGCTGTCACAACATTGCGTTGGCTCGGCACATGTTCCGGCTCCTAACACGGCATCCAACATATCAGTCCCTGATGATTGATACCCAATACAGTATACAGTATACCGGTCATTGCAAGCGGAAGCGAGATGCCGACGATGACGACGCTTGGTGTTGCCGCCAGCTTTTATATCTCCTGCATGATCGATCCACTGAACCCTGGTTCATAGCCTTGCATCCTCGGCCCAATGAGGGATAGAAGCACAGAGGCCAAAGCAGAACAAAAGAACAGCACAGCCCGGCCCCTCTTCATGTCCACGCGCTTTGATTTGGCCGTCGCAGCTGATGAGGCCTGCCGGTATGCAAGTCTTGGCCTCGCAATGCCAGCGCTTCCAATCTCGTGCCATAGGCCATTCAGGTGGTTTTTCCAAGGTCGGCGCTTACAGGGCTGCCGAGATGGAGATACGCAGCCAATCAGGCGGCTCTGCAAGGGGCCTCCACGTTGCAGACAGGCCGCCACTAAGCTCTAGCTCCAGAGCAAGACTCCAGCCATGGCTCCAAAGAAGGCGTTCGTCTCTGTTGACATTTCCTGTGTTGCCGCCGGCCCCTGTTTTGGTTTGGTTTGGCCTGGTCCGGGTGGTGCAGCGCCAAAGTTCTTGTGTCGTTCTCGTTCTCCCAGTAGTTTAGTAGTACGGCCCGGTACCGCTCATTGACAGTAATTCGGCTGCGTTGAGAGGTATTGCGCGGGTACCTGGCTTGATATTACCTATGTGAACCAGTCCAGTGGCATTTGACTTGGGCAGCAAACCAAATCTCACAATAAGCTCTGTAAGCCACTCATCCCGTAGCCGCTTCCTTCTCACCTTGTTCCTTTTCTTCTCCGTCGTGATTCTTCTTCCATCGTCGCAAATCAGCCCTTTTCCTCCCTCCTTCGCCGACCATATTTTCGGCATCAAATCTCACTTACAGCCCAGCAGCGTCGTTGCAGCGGGCCGTGCGGCCAGTTCTGCGACCCATCCCGTCATTTTGGAGAAGCTAGAGGGGTTAGTACCAGGTACGTATAACGTCAACCCCGCCACCAGCGTCTGTGCCGCCACGACTAAGGAGATCCCGAGGAGTCAAAAGTAGCAGTACGGAGTGCCCAAACAAGCATCTCGGGCTTCTTGTCCTCGCCGATTTGCTTCTCTCTTGAGTTCTACAGCGGTCGCCTTACTCTCAAGCATTTGCCGCCTTCACATCAAGAACGAGTACGTACGACCTGCGTGCCCGCCTAGCTTTCCACCGGTTCTCACTAACAGCTTTGGTTGTTGTTGATAGGAAGAATCTCTCTCAAGTGAAGCAAGATGGAGCGCAGCCGTGGCGTCCCGGACAATGAGCTGTTCATGAGCAAGCCGGCGCCAGAAGACTGCGACAGTCCCACGGTAGAGCCGTTGCGCATCTTCAAGCCTCAGAGCCCCGATCCTTATTCTCGCGTCTCCTCGACCTCCTCCAGCAGACCAACATTCCCGCTGCCTCCTGGTGCGTCGAGCTCTGCTGCGCCTTTGCCGTTCCCAGATGACGACGACATCCGAAAGCCAACTGCCCCAAAGCCTTATGGCTCTGCCTACAATGACACGAGCCCTCGGTTGGATACAAACATCGCTGCCGAGAAGAAGCCAGGTCTTGCCGAGAGGCGAGGTGCAGCGCCGAAGCCCATACACTCTCCGTCGAGCCCTGACGCTGACTATGGCCTCTTTGCGAGACCGCTGCAAGATAAGCCTGCGGCTTCGACAACAAACTATCCGACTTACCAGAAGACGTATTACCCGCCTCCCGGAGGAGCTGCGTCCGGACCCTCGGGTAGCTCATCAGCGCAGCCGCAGCAATATTCACAGCCTAAGCCGTATCAGCAACCTCAGTCGTATGAACAGCCCCAACCACAGGCGCCTCAGCAGCCCCCGAAGGTCCCCCAGGTTGAGAACTTGAGCGCCAGCGATTCAGGCGTCAATCGATTTGCCTCCACGGCTTCAAACTCAACTACCAGAGCCAGCCGGGGCTCGCCCCCGCCTCCAGAGACTCCCATCGTAGAGCCTGGAAGCATGCCCGGAGGGGGAATCGAGGCTCGGTACGCTGCTTCAGGCATTTCTGGCACAGCAACCCTCACCAGCCTTCAAGCCTCGCAGGTACAGAGTGCTGCGGCCGCGCAGAGACTGGCGCAGTACAATAATCAACAGCCACAACCTCAGCGCCCCTGGACGCCTACAGAGTCTCCCGATCAGGCTCCCTCAGGTCCGCCGACTGTATACCAAGGCATGAACCCAGTCTCATCTCCTCAGCCGCAACAGCCAATCACCAGCCCTATTCCTCAACAGCAGCCAGCGCAGAATCAAGCCAACGCTCCAGCTCAAGTAAGCGTTTTGGAGCAGGATTTCCAGCGCATGTCCACCAACTCTCCTCCACCAGCTTACTCGAGTGTCAATCCTGGCGGACGTAGCTCATATCCGAATGAGAAGCAACGACCACAACAAGCCAACCAAGCGCCTGCATCTGTTCCCACAGCTACTCCAACCCCAGCTCAAGCTTCTGCGTCTACCAGCTCGGTACCACAGCCTGCCAAAGAGTCTGTGGTAGCCGCGGCTACGGCTGCAGCCACCGCTGCCGCTGCCGCAGGTCTTAGTTCTACGGCTCCTCATAATCAAGGCCATCCTGCATTTGCAAACGATCCTAAACCGGAGCCGGCAATTCAGCATACTCAGGTCGTCACCATGCCCCCAAATCTCGCAGCGGCTGGCCCTGTTTCTCCGCCTCCTCTTCCTGAAGGATGGATTGCCCATCTTGACCAGAATTCAGGTCAATACTATTACATTCACCTGGCCTCGCAGGCAACTCAGTGGGAGTTCCCAAAGGGTCCAAATCCTATTGTACACGATCAAGCTCCCCTCTCGCCCACCGCCTCGACGTACGGAAATCCTTTGGCTTCCCCCATGTTTGGCAAAACGCCCATGGCTTCTCCCATGTTTCCTCCTCACACACCTGGATATGCTGAAAGCATCATGAGCGTTGCGGCCTCACAGGCCCCGACTGTCGGCTTCACAGGACCACCGCCGAGCGCCGGCGTGGACATGTACAGGATCCAACCGACCAACGGGGTCTACTTTGGCCCTTACCTGAAATACGTCAACATGAACATCGAGACGGGCAAATGGTTTGGTAGCATTCTCATTGTCACAGATGCGCCCCAGCCGCCCACTATTCACCTACACCTGAGCATGGATCTTTCTCCAAACCCCAAGCAGCTAATCCCCCACCCCATCTTCGTCCACCAACGCTGGACCTTTTACAAATACGAGATTGATATCGACATGGGAGAGGCCACTGACCGATGGACTTATGCGGTTACGTCGCACCTTGGATGTACTCGTTACGAGTTTGTCGTCGCAGGGAGGCACGAGACTGGATGGCGATTCATCGCCCACTCGGGTAACGATTTCGCTGTCGGCACTTCTCAAAATGAGCGCTCCAAGCTAGGTGGCGTGGGTTTCATGTGGAAGGACGTTCTCCAGAAGAATGTAGAGTGCGGCGGTTTCCACGTGCAACTCGGTTTGGGTGACCAGATTTATGGTGACCGGCTGTGGAGGGAGGTGCCTCTGATGAAGCAGTGGCTAGCCATGAGTGGAAGAGACAACAAGAGAAACACGCAATGGACGGCCCGCCACGAGGAGGATGTGAGCCATGCTTACTTCCACTACTATACAAGCCACTTTGACCAGCCTTATCTGAGAGAGGCTTTTGCTCAGATCCCTCACGTCTTGCAGATTGATGACCATGACATGTAAGTGTATAATAGGGGGAAGGGGAGATAAATTCTTTTTCTTCACATATCTATGTTTTAAGGACCTTTCTCTAACCTTTGATAGCTTTGATGGATTTGGCTCATATCCTGACTATATGCAATCATCTGCCATTTTCAAAAACACCGGGCGAGTCGCAGCGGACATGTACCTGCTATTCCAGCATCATACAACGGTGGAGATGATGCGTAATGTCAGTACTGACCACGATATCTTCACCATTACTGGTACTGGGTGGCATTTCGTCAAGTATCTCGGCCCGGCAGTGGCCGTTGTCGGGACAGACTGTCGGTCGGAACGAACCCAGGCTCGTGTCATGGCCGGGCCTACTTACCAGGGTATTTTCCCCAAGGTTGCGACTCTACCACCCAGCGTACAGCATGTCATCTGGATGGTGTCTGTTCCCCTGGTTTATCCCAGGCTAGATACTGTGGAGAGCTTGGCCAATACCGTCGCCGCGGGAAAGAAGGCCGTCAACACGACGTATAATATCCTTGGCAAAGTCACAAGCTCCGTAGCGGGTGTTGTGGGTGGCAAGGAGATGGTTGCACAGGGTTTCAGCCAGGTCAAGAAGGCTGTTGGTAAATCCGGACTCATGGGCAACGTCCTTAACCAATTTGGTGAGCTGGATATCCAGGAAGTTCTCAAAGACATGTGGACACACGACTCCAAGGATCTAGAGAGGACATATTTCATCCGAACCCTTCAAGGAATCGCCCAACAAAAAGGTGTCCGCATGACATTCTTGTCTGGAGGTAGGTTCTAAACTGCCCCTATCCATTTACCTCTTGCAAGTCTTAGTGTATGCTAACTCATGTCTTTGCAGATGTCAACTGTGCAGGAGCAGGTCTTGTTCATGACCCGACTCACCCTGGTGACCACAAGACGATGTACCAGATTATCACTTCACCGATTGTGTCTGCGCCTCAGAGCACCTACGTGTTGAAGCTGCTCCATAACCAGAAGACGCTCTACGTACCGCTTAATGGCCAAAAATCCACGCATGAAGTATCTGATACCAAAGAAGACATGATGGAAATCTTCCATACTGATGCCAGTGGAGCGACGAGAGAGCTGAAGAAGCTCATGGGTCGCCGCAACTACGTGGCCGTTGTGGCATATGACCACGATGCCGTCATGGCCCAGAGTCAGGGGCCATTTAGCCCCAACCCTAGCATCCATAGCCAGCAGCCGGGCTTGTCTAGGCTCAGCCTTGCGGTTGACTTTGTGGTACAAGGTGATGGAGCTTTTACGGCTACTACCAAGTACGGCCCTGTGATTATCCCCCACTTGGAGTATGGAAGATGAGGAGGCTAGAGGTAGAAGAGTGTGACAACGAGAGGTAAAGACGAGGAGGGTTTTGGGTGACATTTTACGTCAAGAGATGGATAAAATGTTGGGGGATATTCGATTGCCAGCTTTCTCCCTGATTTTTTTGTATATAAGAGATTAACGAATTCTGCCTTTCTTCTTGTATTTGTTTTGAGCATGTGCGCAGCACGCTGCTGGTAGTTTTTGTCACCTTTAGAGAGCGAAGCAAGAGGAATAATGACAATGAGCGTTTGTATAAATGAGAAATTTTGAATATGGGTTATCTTGGTATTCTTGGTATTATCTAGATTTAATTCAACGGGACCAATCATTCGTGGACCTGTCCTTTTGCGAAAGCATTTGGCTCTACTATCTCTCCCACATCTCCTTCAAGCGCGCAACACATCCATGGGCGCAGACCTCCATTTATAAAAACAAATTTAGATGTCGAACAGCTCCTTCAGGATGCGCATGGTGTCCTCGGGACCCTTGACAGAGTGGCCGATGGTCCTGGAGTCGCTGTAGATCTCGAAGTCGTTGCCGCCCTCGAAGGTCTTGTCGCCGAAGAAGTGGATGTTCTTGTAGGTGATTCCGTTGGGCTTCTTGGCCTCGTTCTCGAGGTGCTGTAGGCAGTAGGTCTTGTCCCAGCCGGTGGGGAAGACGTCGAAGGAGATCTGGCCACCAATGGAGAAGCTAATTGGACTTGTTAGTTGATGATTCTCTCGGGTGACGAAAGCGCAATTGGGGGGGGGGGGGAAGAAAAGAAAAGGGGGGTGCAGCAAAAACGTACGTAAGGCCCAAGTGTCCAAATCGCTCCTTGAGGGCGGCGACAAACTTCTCTCGAACCTTGGCCTCCTTGTCAAAGGCCTCGAAGTCGTTCCTCTCCTGGGTGCTGGCGTTCCTGCCGACGGGGCTGACGTTGATCATGCCGTTGCGGAACTCGACGAATGTTCCCCTCTTGACGGGGATGTCGAGGTCGGCGATGTAGTGCAGGCAGAAGTTTGCGAGCTCCTTGTACTGGGCCTCGCCGATCCAGCGGATGAAGCTGTTGGAGGGGAGGGGCTGGCCGAGCTTGTAGGCCGTGAGGCCGTTCTCGGCGAAGCAGTAGTCGAAGAGGGTGGTGACGGGGACGCCGGCGGGCTTGCCGAGCTGCTCCTCTTGCTTGATGAGGTCGGAGCCGCCGACGAAGCCGATGGAGCACTTCTTGCGGAGGGCTTGGAGGAGGGCGAGGACCTCGGGGGAGGCATCCTGTGAGAGGTCCATGTTAGCGAAGGTGGTGGTACGTATTGGGGCAGCGGATTTGCGAATTGGAGAAGGGAATTGGTCGCTGATTGGGAATTGGAAGCCAAAGAAGATGTTGCGGGTGATATTAATGTTTTTCAAGGGGTGCAATGGCGACTTACAAGACGAGCGGGAGTCAATGTGCCGTCGACGTCGAAGAGGCAGATGGTGTCCTTCAGAGGACGCTCCTCAAGAGGGGTATAGGCGGGCGCAGACATGGCGGGCAATTAAGAAGAAGATGTGGAAAATAAAGATGAAAAGATATGAAAAAAAAAAGAAAAAAAAGAGACGAGCAGAAATGCTTTGGAGACGCGGGAATCTATGTGATTTTGAATGGAAGCTTTGTAGAACGACGAGATGTTCAATTGCGGGATGGGATACTCAACAACGAGGGGCAGGGCGGTGAAAATAAATATTGACGAGAGCCCATCCAGTGACGAAACTCCAATTGGCTTGAGCTTTCGAGTTTAGCGCATCGGTCCCCTGTACAAGCTCGACTAGCGTCTGTATTTACAGGTGATCCTTCGTGCTACAGGCCAAATGGGGGTGGAGGGGCAGTGCAAAGTGCCTGGAGAAATGAGAGACCCTTGAGCCACTAATTTCAGTTCATACGAGCCACGTTTATTAGAGCCACGTTTCGTCAAACTTGAAGCTTTTGGGATACTGGGCGATTGTTTATTGGCAAGACATGGATCAGTTTTGGACAGAATGTTCGTTGCTGTCACAGCCCGGGAAGAAGATGAAGGGTGTGATGAGCATAACACAGCCTCTGGTTTTGTTTTAATTAGATGAAGAGTAGATTTGGGGACACGCGTACAATGGCAATGTGACTGATTGATGGTGTAAATGAATACGAAGAAGCCATGTAAACATCTTCAAAGGCAGAGGCATATCTCGAAAATCACATTTGGCGGGGTGGATACGAGGGCGCAATGTGGAGGTTGAGATTCAGCTGGAATTCGGTGAATCTTGTGTTTAACAGAGCTTGAATGCTACTTGGAGTACTTCTGAGTTGGTATGGCGATGTTCTCAATTTGGACGTCCATCGATTTCGTATGTTCACATGCCCTCTTATATCTCCAACGCTGCTATCCCATATGCCATCTACCTACTCAACAAAAGCAAAACAGTAAACGTAAAATGAATGTTGTACAAGAAAAAAATGCTTCAACAAGCTCATGCTCATGCTCATGCTCGTAATGATGCATATCCTCAGCCCGTAACGTCACGCCCCCATCAAAAATCATATCCCATACAGACCCAGCACAAATTATACAATCCCCTAAGAAATATCCCCAATTGCGCCTGTAACCTCGACTATTACGTTGGCCACCGTGCTAGCCACCCAGATCGCAATCAGTGCCCAGCCGATTCTGCGGCTCAAAATCCACTTGTTCAGAGGCACAGCGATGAGCAGGCCGACCAGAATCACGAGAAGTGTAATGGACGATACCATCAACGTCCCACCTATCTGGATACGGTACGGTTTGTATGCGTAATCGTCTCCTGGGTGCTTATGCTGGTGGCGATTTGCGTCTTGAACCATCATCAGGACACCTCCCACGCCTATTCCAAGTAGAATATTGAGCATTGGCCCACCAAAGCAAGCAGACCTGCAACGGAGAATCACACAGTTAGCAATTATTCACAAGGAAGTATAGGAGGTCCACTTGTACTCACAATGCCATGACCGGATATCCAAGTCGGGCCACTGTAATATCAGCCACCAAATCGCCCACGCTGTTGCCAGCTGCGAAAATGGTGAGTCCAAGTAAAGCCTCGGAAATACCGAGGACCACGCCAAAAGTCTTCAAAACACCAACAACTTCGCCCGCCACCGTTGAAATCCAAGCTATGCTGATGATGAATCCCAAGAAGCAAAACAAAAAGTGGTACTCGGGTCGCTTCTGCTCCGAGGTGAGCAGAAGCAAAGCCCCCAGCAGTATGAGCGACCCCAAAAGCGTCCATAAAATCATGCGCACCAACATGGCCCCTGGCTTCTCCCAGTCTTCGGAGATGTTTGCCCAGAGAATAACGACGGCAAACAGCGGCCCCATGAAGAGCTGGAGGCAGACGAGCCATCGGTTCCATCCCAATTTTTCCTCGCTCCCTTGGCTGATGGACCGAACTTCGGACAAAGGTTTGGGCGCGCCAGGTCCTCGAGTATGGGGAGATATAACCAACGTGTCTTCGTTTGGCAGCGCCAGGAGAGGTGTCTGAATGCTCGAAGTCATAGTATCGCTATTCCTACGATGTAGCGAGTATCTCCGAAACCGATCCCACTCATTCTCAGGTTCGATTTCTCCCGGCTGGATCGAAATGGGTGGAGCCACATGACTTGAACGATAGGTATGGGCATCATCCAAAGAATCGACTTCTCCTGTCGTCGTCTCTGACTCAACAACCGGTAGCGTTATTACCAATAAAAAGATGCTCGGTACAGATATGATGCTGATGGCCTTGTCCCACAGTGCCTTTTCTCTCCACCCTTGTAACGTTGGAAACAGGGTAGCAAGGAGAACATGTGGCGCTGGAAGAACCGAGTATGGCCACCATATTACCGGCCGTGATTCAGTCTCGGCGCTGCCAAACGCAGCAAATGGGCTTTCACGAACAGTGGCCGAGGGTGGTGGAAGCATGCTAAAGCCAGCCGGTTCGACTTGCGTATTAGGCGAGATCGGCATAGGGGAATCTGTGTATTGAGGGAAAGGCATCACGGGCGACGTTGGACTGCTCAAGTTACCACCTTGGCTGGGTATCTGCAGTTGAAGCCGGGGCACAAGCGGTGACTGCCGGTGATGACCACCAGCCCCTGGTAAATCGACTGGAGGAGGTGCCAGTTTTCCACCAATTTGATACGACGGTGCAGGGCTTGCCGTCCTTTGGCTGGCAGCTCCATCTGAGGGGGACAGCAAACTGGAATCTGACCTTTCTCGCACGACCCCTAACAAATCTTGAGGCACAGATGCTGAGGCTGGAGCAGTTCCGTGCGACCTGGCCCTCTCCCTCCCATTGGCGACGGCAGCATCACGGGCTGAGACATCGGCTTGGTCGGAAGGTAGCAGGTCAGAGATGGCGCTCGTGCTACCCCTCCGCCCTCTATAAACGTGGTTTTCAGAATAGCTCCTAGCTGGGATTGGAGAGAGCTGAAGGTTGCTCTCCCGCTGCAAGTGTGCCAAGGCAGATCTAAACTCCAGTGCTCCAATCAAACTCGGTCGAATGGGTGTAAGTGTGTTCCTCCGCCCGCCTTGGGGGCGCAAGACTCGCATGCTTCGCGTTACCTCTGCCACGACCATTCTTTCATGGTCTTCATCCGTTTCTTCGCTGCCAACGCTCCCTGGCGTCTCAACACTCTGGCCGTCAACCTCTATAATAGGGCCGCGCTCTAAAGCAGAGAGGATACTCTCTGCAACAGTGCTTGGCGCATGTCGGCTTGCTTCTTGGCTCGTATCGTCGGGATCGTCTCGGTAGGGCTCGCCAGCCAGCTCATCTCCGCTGTGGCCAGTCAGCCCATAGAAGTGACTACGGGCCTCCCCTTCTCTGCGCAACCTCCGCTTTCGCCTCGTGATATACCAATGACATCCCACAACTGTCACGACATAGAGCATGTAATATCCAATCATGGCGCAACACTCCCAGAATCGCAGTTCTCCATCGGCCAAGAAGCCCATGGTAAAGGCAACCGCAACAATAAAGAAGCAGATGTCCCTGGCATATGTCCGACGATCCACCCTGAACTCCCTGACCAGCGCCATGGATCCGGCCACCACGCCTGTGATGAAGCTAGCAGCGCCGATGAGTTCGCCGACGGCCATGCTCGCGCTGTTGGAGCTCATGGCTGCAAAGGTGCTGAAGACATCGGGAGAGCCATTTCCAAAGGCGAGGAACGTGACACCTGCAAGACTCTCGCTGAGGCCCAGAATGGTTGCGATGGTACTGAGATTGACGCTGAAGAAGTCGCTCGCCGCGATACCAATAGTAGTAAACAAAAGCCCCAGCCATGTCACCAGAAGGACAAAGGCAAAGGGCTGCGCTTTGCCCAGTCTGCAGTAATAGAGTTCGAGATAGGGAAGAAGCCCGGCATCTTCGTCGATGCAATATGCTTTTACAAACGCGCACTGATCTTTGGCCGTGTGCACTTGACGGCACTCAGGCTCTTCGTCGGATCGTCTGAACAGCTCCAGGCTGTCGTCGCGATCGCCATGATGACGTTGAGTGTATGTGTGTGCCAAGAAAGAGTACGCGGCCAGCAGAGACAACAGCAGAACCGTGGTGTAAAAGGGCCGGAAGCTCAAACGGCCCCGTCTGGCGTTTGTTGTCCGCATGCTGGTCGCATCGACATATCGCAAGATTGCGTCGGACGAGTTGCAGGAAGCGATCTTGGGGTTTGGCCGTGACAATGCGATGGTTATGAGCGTCTCATCAGTTGTGGGTTGTGGGTTGCGGGTGCTGTGACATGATCTTCAATGACGTCCGTTACGCTAGCCCATGTTTCTTTGTGACGCCTCTGTGGCGGTGCAATTCCAGGGCCTTTTTCTGTACTCCGACAGTGCTGGAGGCCCTGCTAAACAATGCGGGAGCCTTGCAGACAGTTAAGGTTTCCGGGGCCGGCTCGGTACCTTGGTACCGGCACCAATGTGGCTGCAATTCATCGGAGGCACGGTGTACATGTGCCAGCTCAGACCAAGCACTTCCAAGCTGGGCTTTGTGCCTTTGAGCATCGTGTTTCACCTACTAGTAGATTGGCACATTTGGATGAGTCAGTCAAGAGCAAAGCCAGACTGGCCAAAAAAGCCACAGGGACATCACGCGCGAAATCTTTATGGTGATACAATGGCTGTGCAGGGGCAACTTTGCCCATTGAGTTCTGACCGTTTGCCCAGGAACAAGAGGTACCAGACATCTGTAGATGAGTACCTGTACCTGCTTACCGTTGTCGCGTAACGACAAACTTCAGCCAAGTGTGGCGCGTAGCGCAGGTGGCTTTCCATTCGCAGCAATTGGTTGGCCAGCCACGGTGGGGTTTCGCAGACACCCGGTAGTTCGTGTTGCTTCACGAAAGTCAACAGTAAACAAAAAATACTTGGGCCGAGACGACACGCGGCAGAGGCTTTGCCTCAGATACCTTCGAACAAACTCAACGCAAACCCGGCGAGGACCCCGATTCCGAAAATGCCTCGGATTGCTCAGATGCCACGCACTGGTGGCGCAAAGTCGTCATCGACCAACATCTCGGGGTCGCCATTCAAATCTCCCATCAAGTAAGCAGCATCTCGTGAATCCCAAACCCCAAACCCCGCGTCGCTGGGCATTTATACCAATGATGAACGATAGAATCCCCCTAAACGACGATGCACAAGAAAAGGGCCAGCGGATGAACAACCGAAAAGCACTCCAGGAAAAGCAGATAAAGGAGATCAAGAGGGCGGCCACCCCGCGCAACAGTTTAGGGATTGGCGGATTTGACAATGGTTCACAAGATCCCAACACACCCCGGGGGACAAGAGGGGGGCTGGATGACGATGATCCCATCATGGTTGGAGGCGTGTCCGTGACGCCGATGAAGCGTGTTCCCATCCTGGCCAACTTTGAAGAGTGGATGAAGATGGCCACTGACAACAAGATCAATGCCACCAACTCATGGAACTTTGCCCTCATCGACTACTTTCACGACATGTCCTTGCTCAAGGAGGGCGACGGTGTCAATTTCCAGAAAGCGAGTTGTACGCTTGATGGATGTGTCAAGATTTACACCAACCGAATCGACAGCGTCGCAACCGAGACCGGCAAGCTGCTGAGTGGCTTGGCAGATAGCAATAACAAAAAGAAGGATCGCGATGCTGAAGACGGTGCCGGCGAAGGCGAAGAGAGCGAAGAAGAGGTTGATGAGGATGGCAATGTCAAGAAGAAGACGAAGAAGAAGGTAAGGAGCAGAAGCAATAGAAGAGTTCAGAATAATCCCCTTCGTAGGCTAACCGGCTTGCCCTATCTTACAGGTACAAAGGTCATCAGAAGCAACACTAGCGCCGTCATTCGCCTCCCTGCAGCTCAAGAAATTTGAGCTCGAATTCGCTGTCGATCCCCTTTTCAAGAAGGCCTCTGCCGATTTCGATGAGGGAGGCGCTAAAGGTCTACTGCTTAACCACCTGATGATTGACTCGCAGGGACGAATTGTCTTTGACAGTAGCGATGACACTGGTGATGCAGATGAAAAGGACAAAGAGGATAAAGGGGACGAGGACGAAGACGATATCGAGGCCGAAGTCGAGGTTGAAGAGAGGGAAAGGGAAAGAGATGGGGATGGGGATATAGATATGGAACACGACGAACACAGCCAGCCGGAGAAGGACCAGCGCAAGAGCCAGACCCAAGAGGACGCGGATGACGCCGACATAGAGATTGACGTTTCGGCCCTCGGCCAGCGGTTCTTCCCCGACCTCGGCCTTCTGGATGAGCTTGATATTTGCCCGTCTCTGAAGAGTTTTGAGCTGGGAGACCCCTCCGGCTCTATGGACATTCCCTTCCTCAAAGCTCCAGAAGATTGGAGACAAGACCAGGAAAACAAGAGCTCCGACAACCATGCCAATAAATCCGGCATATTCATCGATGAAGATGCGCCAGCCGGCTTTGACGACGATGACCTGGGCCTTGGCAACTTCGACACGCTTGGAGATGTTGCTTTCGGTGAGGGCGGTGAAGCCTGGGCCAAGGAGGCTGCTCTCGAACCTCAAATGCGTGTATACGACGCTGGTATGAATAGCGAAGAGGGCGGAGAGGGAGAAGGCTTCGATGAAAACGGCGAGTATATCGTATCCATGGCCAAGCCGGAGAATGCAGACAAAATGCATCAAGATATATTGAGCTTCTTCGATCAAGCACTGCAAAAGAACTGGACTAGTGCCGAACATTGGAGGATTCGCAAGATCAAAGATGTCAACAAGCCAGCAGGAGAGACAAAGAAGCGCAAGGAAAAGGAGCCATTCGAAATCGATTTCCTTTCGTCTCTCAGCCCCGCCCAGTCAGACGTCATCTACACACAAGCATCCAGCAACTCGGCTGTCTGCCTACCCAAGAAGGACTGGAAATCAAAATCTCGAAACCTACTTCCAGATGACAAGCATTTTAGCTCAAAGGTCTTACTAAATCTCTTCCTCAAACCCAAGGCTCGCCTAGCTTCAAAACGGAGAGGATTTGGCTCACGCAAAAGTGGCCATGGCTATGGCTCTCAAGACGACGATCACCAGCCAGCAGGAGAGCTTGATGAGGCTTTTTGGGCACAGCAAAAGGCGCCAGAGGATGCTGCTCTACCAGAAGGCGATTATGATGCCAACTTCTTCCAAGACGATGATGGCCTGCCATTTCCTGGTGGCGATGACGGAGATGATGATGACCTTGAGTTTTCCGATGCCCGAGAACATCTTTCACCAGGGGCTGAAGGGGATGCGGGTCTAACGGAAGGGGCCGGAGTGACGGCTATGCTCAACGGAGAGACTATGAACACTATGGGCGCCTTTGGCACGCAACTCATCACTCAAACACGCCGTCTACGTCCTGAATATGTTCAGTATGCCAGAGTCGCAAAGAAGGTGGACGTGCGACGACTCAAGGAGGAACTCTGGAAGGGCATGGGCCTGGAAGAACTGGAGGTACGTACAATTTCACTGATAATCACCACTTTGAAGCCCTCTTTTTATCCATTTATTTATTTGCGGTACTAACAACCATGGCCTATAGAAGTCTGTTGAGCCACCAGAGCCATCAAACGGACCAAGGCAATCACCGCCCAATCCGGAGGATAATACCACTCTCAAGTTTACTGAGGTGATGAACTCACTACAATCGGTATATCCAAAGCCTGCCATGGCCGACATCTCCACATCGTATTGTTTCATTTGCCTGCTTCACTTGGCAAACGAAAAGGGGCTTGTGATTGAAAATACGGAGGGACTGAGTGAGCTGGACATTCGAAAGGACTGGACGGCGGATCTCACCGAAGGCGCCGTGTAAATTTCGCTGTAATGCATAACAAGGACAAACTTAGACATGGAAAGGGGGCGGCCGATTTGAACTATAAGACGTTTAGGGAGATTGCATGATGACCATAGTTTGTGGCTTTTAATGATTTACATGATGATTTCCCACATCTTTTATTACTCTCAATATTCTTATTATCAGCAAAGGCGCATGTTAGAGTTGTCTGCGAAAGCTTTAGGTTATACAAAATTAAAATGCTCGCGAGTAGCTCCTGCCTCGCAACTCTAAACCTCCACAATTGCAACTGCCAGCCAGTATAAAGAGGCGGGCACATGACTTCCATCTTCCTCTCGGCTTAAAGTTGTAAACAATCTTTTCCTCTTTGCACATCCACACATCAACTTACGACTTCACGAATTTTTGAGCCTCAGTCCAATTATCAATTTAATATTCAACGCCAGACAATACCCTGAATTCCCTACCATTGGCTCTCTTTCTGCACAAATAATAAACCAGAGCGCAGCAAATACTCTTCGCAGAACCCATTTCCGTTCTCCCAACAAGTCTTTAATACCAAAAGTTCAAAGAAAAAGAGAAAAAAAGAAGAAAAGAACAAAATCCGTCACTGTCCCCGAGAGCTTTTTCCTAAAAGCTTGGGTCCTATGGTAAACGACCAGAATCGACCTTTCCATCAACGCCAGCTTCCCGTCATCTCCCAAGTTTCCCGACCACATTCATTTACAGTTCTCGGCCAAAAATGCGAGGAGCCACTTCCTACAATCGAGAGGCAAAATGTGAGAAACAAAGAAAAAGAGAAAAAGAAAAAGAAACCATATATCCAGCACAACGGACAGAATGAGAATAAAACGGTCATGGGTATATGAACAGAACTTCGAAGATGCGCAAGACATCCGCGAACCAGGCAGGAAATGAATAGAATCAAACGACTTTCCACATGTTGCCTCCTAGTGGCAGCTCCGTGTGATCAACATGATCAGCTACCCACTACATGGTGACTCGACCAAAACATTGCGAAGGGGGGAGGGTTTTGATCAAAAGCCTGCCGATTCAAGTACGACCGTGATGGCCGAATATTTCGCCGGCTTTTAATAAAGCATTCACCCCATCAAGCCCACCTACCTCGATGGTGTTGGAACTAGAAAGGGGTACATCTGCTGAAGTCATCAGCACATCGCCATCGCTTGTCTCCTCGACTTTCATGTTTTGAAAGGCAGAGGAAGCTGTCTGGAATCCTTTTAACAACTCAAATTAGTTGCGTCCTTACAAAGACTTGTCAGTTCGAAAGGACTCGGTACCGTATCCCTTAGGACCCTGGAATTGTCCAAAGGTTGGCCTCCCTCGCTCAACTGGACTAGCAACGTAGCTAGTCGTATACGACGGGCTCTCATCTCTGTGGTGGGGAGTTTGATCATGGTCTGACAATAGTGCATGGATTGACAGATGACCATCGCTCAATTTCCGACTAACTCTGCTTGACGTTGTCGGTACGCTGCTGCCACTGGAGGACGTCTCATGATAGAGTGGCGGTACTGGAGCGAGTGGCAACGAGTGTGTTCCGTGAGATACAGGCATTCTGGGGTTAGCTGTTGCAAAGCCATGCATAAACCCGGCATTTTTAGTCACCGGGCCGCTTGTTTTCCGTTGTCCCGGGGCCAACATATCCGAAAGTGATGGTAAGTATGGTTGTGGTACATCGGCTTGGTGTGTTATTCCTCTTAATGACGAGGAGCCTCGTCGCAAGTGGCGTGACTTATTTTTCGCGGATATGTCAACGTCAAAGTGTGTCGCCGATGGAGATGGCATTGAGGCTAACGAGGAATGCTGCGAGTCCGACACAGACAAGATCGAGTTCCCACTGTTATGCCGAAGATTCGGGGGCTCTCGAGATTCACTTTCACGCATTCTCTCACTGCTGCTACCACTGGCAGTTGAGGTTGAGCCACCCATCGCTATGCTGCTGCCCACGGTGCTACTTCCGGCACTACTACTCCCGTGCAAAAGTTCATTCTTCTCGAGTCTTGCTCGTTTCGCGTCCTCGTGGCCTAATTTGGAATGAATCAGCTCCGGTTGGGCAAGATTGAAAGGAAACTCAAAGAGTACACTGCTCGTTTTCGACAACATGTACAATGTACATACCTTGATTGGGTTTGGCTTGCTTCTCATTGAATTCTTCGAGATATTCCATATACTTGCGGTATTCCGGCGTCTCCTTATAGGTTGCCATCTCCCGATAGTACCGCTCTTTGCTGGCTCTTGCTTGCGCTTCATATATCTCCCTCTCTGCTAATGGGAGGCTCTGCCAGTTTTCTCCGACCAGCTTAGCTATTTCTGTGAACGAAAGACTGCGGTCCCCTTTCAAGTTTTCCCTCAACTCTGCGATAATCGATTAGCAAATGCGTCCTGGTTTGCCTAACAGAAAGCAGCGGGGCGCAATATCTAAAACTCACTATTAGAGAAAAGCACATATGCGGACATCGGTCGTTCAGGTGCATTCTCATCGGGCTAATCACCGAGGTTAGCATATTCATTCTCGTCAAAAGAGGCTTCTTCACACAATTTTACCTTGGGGTGTCGCCGATATTTGCGTTTCGGAACTACAATAATGTCTCCGCCGTGGTTAGGAGGCTCTCTCTTTTTATGAGCTCCATCGTGTTTTGATTCTTCCGAGGTGGATTTTATTGATGAGAGCGAGATACTGGGATCGATTCCCCTTGCGTTGGCAATTCGCCGCTGAAGTCTCTGGGAGCGCATACAATTAGCAATCTCCTATTGCTTTCGGATAATGGTTGTTATACATACTCTGCGATGGCCCAGCTTGACGCCTAAAGCATCACTAAGACTACGGTTAGCCCTGCGGAGGCACACAATCAACCTGATTTACCCACAGATCAGACTCTTGTATATCGAGAATGGTATCCCAAGTATCAAAGCCTTGCTCAACAAACGTGTCGAGGTACTGGGCGATACCAAGCTCTCTGAAGATGGCCTCCAGCTCTTGGCTCATGCGGCCGGGCTGCATTCTCGGACTAAGAGCTATGCGTTTTCTTGAGAAAGTTATGATCCCGATGTTCTAACATTTAAATTTAGTTGCGGAGACTAGATTTCGATTTCCGCGATCGATAAGACGTAGGGGTAGCTGGCGAACGGTAATAGAAAAAATCGAGTGGTACGGCGGCAAACCGATAGCCTAGGATTCAGTACGGGCACGGACTTCTTGCGTAGCAAAGGTGCCTTTCGACAGAAGGTCGCGCTCGTCCTTGGGGGTTATTATCGCAGTGAGCGTGGTCGACTAGCTGCGTTTCCAGATAATGAGCTTGGGGTGGTGGCGTGTTAATGAATCGGTAAACAGTGGCAAACAACTCTCCGTCAGGATGACCATGGATTGCGGGATCGAAAATAGATGAAAGGGCCCAAAGCATCAAGTGATTTCTTCATTTATCAGGCTAAGATGTCAAGTTCTAGCCAGTGAGTGGTCAAGATATGATCTTTGTCAATGTTTGTCAAATTGAGAGAATGTGGCCAATCTTGGCCGATGACACAAGCCTGCCGGAAGAAACAACTCGAAGCCAGCACGCCCGTGAGAAAGTACGAACGTACGACTTGGAAGGACTTGATATCAGAGCAAAGGCGAGAATTAAGCGAGCTATATCCAGCAAGCTTCGCCACCCTAAGTGGCAGAATCGATCATCTCGATCTGCAACAGCAGGTCAATCAACGGGATGGGACACTTTGAGACGTTTGGTTCAAATGATACTCGGGCGAGCGAGAAAATAAAGATCAAGGGCACCTGCTCTCAGACGTCGAGACTGGGAGTGATCACGGTCTTCCTGCCCTTAATGATACAATAAAGGCGACGGCAAGTGGCCAATGGCCTTCCACAAGCGCGTAAGCGGAGATCGCAATGAGGAGAGAAATCGAGATTGGTCGTTAAAGATGAAAAGATACAACCATGTCCGGACACTCTCACGGCATTACAGACATGGGACTGGTTAAGCTTCGGTATGTACGGCGGTGCTATGATGGCTACTCTGCTTGTCAGCACCTCTCCTGGAACGCAATGGCAAGGTTTTTCAACAGGCTCCACGGCACTGTATGTATGGATGTACCCTTTTTTCTCTCTCTCTTTCTTTTTCTTCCGCCGTGGGCCCCCGAAGCAACAAAAGGTTATCCAACTTGGCTAGGGTTGAGTAAATGGGGGGTAGGCAGAGAGAGTTGGGGGAAGAAATTGTTATGGGGAAAAGAAACCGAAAAGAAAAGGTACGGGACCCCCCCATGCAAAAGATAGCAATGGCACGGGATTTGGGATGGAAAAGAAAGGGAGGGACGACGTACTGGGGCTTTCACTGCGCCTTTGCACAGGATGCATTAAGTGCAGGGCATGCCGAGGGTAGGCGTGCCGCTATCAGAGAACCTGGTCTGTACCTCTCCGCCGTCTCGACACCGACGACGCGGTGATGAAGGCAAGCGTTGTTCGATCCAGGACCACTAAATGACGGCTAGGGTAAATCGGCAGCGAAGTGAGGGATCGGACTGGGAGCTGTTCTCCACGAGCGACTACTGCAGGCAGACCAACAAGACGGGACCACAGCGTTTTGACTAGCAGCCCTAGCTGGGCGGACACCTAAAGCTGGCGTAACGAGACGAGATTTTGGCAGAGGAGCCATAGTATTTTGGTCTCACGCAGCTACAAGCACAGTACAAGATGAGGAGCCGTGACGAGGGTTGATGTAACCCGAATGGAGGCGTCAGAGGATGCTACAGCTAACGACTAATAATTAACCCGAGCATGAACTCCATGGTCACTAATAGGGCCGAGGTGCCTCATCTCTATCAAGATCGGAGAAAGCTTGACACAGCACCACCTTTGCATATGCTGCCTGTCTAGCTGTGCAAGTGGAACATCCAAAAACAGGGTATGAGCTTCTTACCTGATATTACATTACTGAGCAGTGTTGCAGAGCCGTCATCAATTATGAGATGGGCATGTGATACTTTGGTCAAGTACAGATATACACGGGCCAGTAGGATTTTACTCACAGTTGCTCCCTGTTTCGTTATAAAAACAAAGGTAATCACCGTACATACTACGGATAAGTGCTCGTCTGTACGGAGTACAGGTAAGTAGGTATGCTTGCAAGGCCATAGCAGGGCAAAAGCAGGGCCGTCATCCAGGTGGTTCTTGGTACCACAAGGTCGGCCCACTACCAGATGCTCCCCAGCCGTACATACGAGCACAAGTATGCCATCTACGGTACATTGAAAGTAAAGTGCGATGAGACGAGCTGAAAAGAGAGCTAACGAAGGGGCTACATAGCCAGGGGATTCAAGGATTACAGGTATCAATGGATGTCTCTTTGTCTCCTTTAGGACTCGGTTTCATGCCTATTGGCGCTCGCGAGCCACTGAACGTTCCAACTCTACTCCTTCCGGCAGACGGAATACCACCTCCATTTACGAGATATTGCACCTCCTCCTTCCTCCAACAGCGCCGCTTAGCTGAGACCGAAATGGTACTTGTGCTGACGCTGAGGAAAAAGGGGGCGAGAAGGAAAACGAGGGACATGGTTCATCAGTTGAGAAGCTAAGCTAGCCTCGCTACAAGGTTAGGCCCCTCGGTGTTGCAAGCCAATCCGCAACAGACTCACATGTAGGGTTGGGGCGGCGGGCTGCAATTCGGGCGACTTGGCTGTCGTCGGATCATGGCATTGGCCCTGAAAGGACAGCGATCTCGATCCCTGAAGTTGTTTGGGCTCGTGGCTCAAGGCCAGTGGATAGCTAGGCAAGGAAAAGAGTGGAGGGCGACCGCGGATTGGGCCAGGCACCGGGCGAGTCGATGGAGGCGACAAATGTCCTATCACAGCCGCAGCTCAGTGCTACGTCACAAACACCGGGGCGTCGCGTTTGGAACTTGGCCCCATGCCGGCACTACGAGGGGACTAATCAGGACGGCGAGCCCTTGCGCGGAGCGCTGTGAATCTGGTTGGAACCTGGGAACCGGATTGGGGTCACGCCACTATGGCTGTGTGAGGTCAGACGCTTCTCCTTACTTTTCCCCCTCTACGACGAGGATTACCACTTGAAGGCCTGCGCGGACATCCAAGACCCCTGCACTGCAGAGCGGATCAAAGGAGCAAGGGGGAGGAAGAGGTGAGAGCAAAGGAGGCAAATTCGAGCTTCCGGAGAGACAAAGGAAAAAGAAAAAAAAAGACTCGCGGTGCTCGCAAGCAGTCTCAAACGAGTACATACTCCAAGACAAAACAAGTTTTGCCGGAAAGTTGAACCTTGCCAAATGGGGCAGCGGTACATACGTTCCCGCCACGTATAGCGACTACGGCCACGTTGCTGAGAAGGTGAAAAACACGACCCGAGCCCTTTTGATAGCTCTCTTTGGGAAAAAAGGAACGAACTGGGCTGAAGGGAGAGTGTTGGGGTCAAACATTGGCGATTACAGGTCAGAAATCAGCTCTTTCTGCCGCTCCGAATCGGTGAGGAGTCGCCTTACCGCAGCAAAAAATATCCATCCACAAACCAAACCAGGACCATGCAAGCCCACACCTCCAGAAGGCACACATTGTCCCAAGGCCGGCACCCATAGGTATGGGAAATTTGGTAAAATGGGACAGAAAAGATGGAGATCTCGATCCCGTTGAGCTGGTTCCCCTTCCGTGAATCAGGCCGTCCATCTATGCTTCGATTTTACATGCCTAGCATCCCCGGGGGGGCACACACCAATGGGTAATGGGGGAGGCTCGGGCCAGTGCGTGGATTCATTCGTTGGATTGAACTGATCACCATCCGTCGTCAACTTGTGCTCAACGGTTTTCACCACACTGCGAGCACGGAGCCATTGATAAACGGGCAAATCTCACGGCTCCGCCTAAAACGGTTGATCAGCAGCCATGCTACTTCCCAAGCTACATGATACCCACAGTATGAAGTACCAAAAATGGACGTTGGCATGTATTTTTAAAGAGCTCTTCCCGTCTCTTTTGTTATACTCTGGCGGTAGATCGGTCGATTGAACAAGCCTGATGATTCACTCTGGAGAGAATTCCGCGCCAAACCAAATACATGATGTCAGAATACTACAAGTCCAAGACGGCTCACATCTCGATTCACATGTAATTAACTGGACGACCGACGATCAGCGTCGCTTTGTACGTGAGGGGGTTTCCCCCTCGTGTTGCAAAGTTTTGTCCAGCAAGGTCAACTTCTGGTGATGGCGCAAAATGTATACCTCAACGGCATCATCTCCGTGCCTTGATACGAATGCTGTTGGGTTTGCAACGCCTCCGTCCGAGGTTTTCGGTACCTTTTTTATGCCCATCTTCTGCCTTTTGGAACAGGCACCGTAAATAAATAGGTGCTGAATGCCAGAGCAACAGCCAATGGCGGCCGACTGCGGGGTTTTTAGAATCTAGACTCGCCGAACCTGCATGGGAGGGGGCGTGTCTGAAGTTTAACAGGGTGCTAACACTTTTAGCCCTCTGACTAGTAATCTCTAGGCACGGCGCACCGAAAGCTGGCACCTCCTCACTCAAGCCACCCGCACGAAAGGACAGCGGCTTCAACGCGCTTCGTCGTACGAGTGGTATCTCGATGTCTCGAGAGTTGGCCTATGTGTACAGGTTAAAATGGTGGTCCCTTAGGTGAAGGCTCTACTCTATACTCCGTGCTCTAGGGCTATTCGAAAAGGTACGGAATACATAGCTGAGGACGATTAGGCTAGGCCCATCAAAGATTCTAGCAAAGGAGATGTTGAAAAGCTCGCCAAGCTCGCTTCTGATCTAAGCCCCGGGAAGGGGATTGTGACTCTTGTCTCTTGTCTCTTGTCTCCTACGCCCGAGACAGTGACAGGAATAACACTCAAGCGTCCAAAGGGTCACGATGGAGGAGAGACGAGGTGAGCCCCAGGCTCCTTTGGACTTCCGCCGCAACGGATAACCCGACAAGACAGCCCGACGGATGGCTAAATATAAGAGGGCGGGCCGTCCCAATGGAGCATCCCAATGGAGGAATTTGATATATAACTTTTGGTGGATAGCGACGCCCTCTTGATATACTGTATCCCATCATGATGGCACATTGGCGGCGGCAGCACATTGCATTATGGAGTCCCGTCTGCCGCGTCAAATGCCCTGTTAGCCGGACGGACGCCTTGCAAAAGGGCAGAAGCGCCCGTAGGAGGCTGCAAGTACTGACAATTTCACTATTCCCACACGGGCAGCACTTGACCATCCATGCTGACGGAACGGCATCCGTCTGCAACCCCTTGGAGCGTCAATTGGTCGTGGCGCAAAGCTGAAAAAGCCGATGTGTGCGGTCGGCACCAAGGATCCTTGTTGCTATTGGCAGTAGCAATGTCACCTCTTGTTCGAGACGCGAGGGACGAGGTGCTTTCGTGTTTTGATATGTGAGCCACGGAGTGTTGGCGATGCATCTGGTATGAAGCACATACAGCTGCAGCATGCATATTACTGTAGCGAACACGAACCGTAAGCTCACCAAAGGACTAATAGTTTGATTACTGGTAATTAATGATGGGTACTGCTGTAGCATCGTACACTAAACTATACAGAGTATGGAGAAGACGAATAAGAAAAGGGAAGAGAGGAATCAAACTGGTGGGTTTCCCTGAGTATGCTTATTCTCTTCTCTGTTGATGGAGTTGAGTTATAAGACATGGCCTGGCCTACAGCTACGAGTACAGAGGGGTACATACAGGTCAGGTACTTGCACCAGGCTGTACCCGTATGCCACTGGGAAGAGGTACCTTAACCTTACTCGAGGCCCGCATCACGTGAGCCTTCCGGTACAACGGCAGCCCAGCAGCATGTACCCATTACGGAGCATTGAATTGTACTCCGCGATAACTGCTCAGCCTTGCAGCTTTTCGTGACGCAGACGCAAACAAGGCATATCAACTACCTTTATTTCCACACTCAAAAATCATCCCGCCTCTCTTATCCAAGTAAACCCTTCCGTTTTCAACGAACAAAGGATATATCTCGAGTCCCCAAAGACCATGGCTGCGTCATCGGAGACAAACTCAAGTAAACCGGATCAGCCCGAGGCTGCTCCCGAGGTTGATCTCGCTCAGGCATGTTTCATCACGATATATTACTCGTATTCTTCTTTGATAAGTATGATCTAACCAAGGAGTTTCATGTTTACAGGCCCTCAGAGAACTTGCCAGGTAAAGACAATCTCAAAACTCTCCCATCACCATTATATATATCCTGCCATCACTATAATAAAGTTGCCCTGCCTTTCTCTCATATAACCACACACAAAGCCAATTCATCCTCATCAAATAATACTGACATAATCCTGACTTCTCTCCACAGAGGCGAACAAACCGCCACGGCAATGGAAGCCAACCTAACCAACCTCGAAAGCAAGCTCGACGCCATCCTCGCTGCTTTCGACGACATGGAGCGAGAAAAGGGGGCAAAGAACACGGAAAAGGTCGATGGAGAGAGTAAAGAGGCTGAAAAGTAAAGGGTTGTATATATATCCTTTGTGTGTTTTTCTTCGTTTCTTTTTTAAGCGGGATTAAGACGTTGGTTGAATTCATAATGGCACTCAACATCCTCATGTATACGAAACAACCTGTATAATTAGTAGTCATAACTAGACGCCCCAAAGAGTTACATGTCCAACGTATCACAATTCATTCACATCGAAGAGAAATCGAGCACGCGAAAGAACCATCGTCTCCCAGGACAAGAAAACGATGGCAAGTCTTTTTAACGTTCGCTAACAAGGTCAGGAAACTAGGTGAAACTCCACTCAACACACATAAAGAAATAACTCGAACAAAGGCAATAAAAGGTAAAACATCTCTTCTCTTTCTCTTATCCACGTTTGCATCCTATTTCTTCCAATTTCAGCCACCAACCCGCCTCCGTTGTGTGTCCATTTGACCCTCGTCATCCTTGAAAGGGGGAACCGTCTTCAGTTTCATTCACATCGTGCCATCAACGATTGTTGTTGGAAAAGAGTCCAGACCCGCAGCTTGCATTTTAAAGTAAAAATGGAAGAAGGGAGATAAAAAGAAAACCAAGAAAATCCACACCCCATCCCTCCACACCAAACGATGAGAAAGACCGATTTCTTCCGCTATGCCATTTCATCCACGTTAATTCCATGATAAACCCTACGTACTATTGCCACTGCAATATGCCAGCCAGCAAACCCCCTTATCCGGTACTGGGAAAAAGAGAAGAAAAGAAAAACGTCCATGCGAATATAGAGTAAAGGAAAACAAATATAAGAGACGGGGACGGGGGACAAAGAGATAAAAGATACCAAGAGGGTAAAATACACCACAGACAGAGAGCCAAAAGGAAAATTAGGGAAGTTAAAATACTAGAACCAAAATAAACAGGACAAGACCGTTGCGTCTTTTTTTCTCGTCCAACATGATATCAACACCGTATTCGCCAGGTAGGTTGAAGAGGGGGGAGAGCATATTGATAAAATCCCAAAAACAGCAGTCATGCTCTAAAAGAAAGAACATTATCGCCAAACAAGAAAAGGAGTACTGGGAATCCGCCATGGTCCTCATAAATTCATGTCAAGCGGCAGACTCGTAGACTTGATAAGACGCGCTCTCAGACTAATCCAAGCGCAGCGTCCCATCTTGGGCTATGCCGTCTCAAACAATGTCGTACTCTCTTCAACTCGAGAGGCTTCGTCTATCAGCAAGTTCTTCGCGTGCTTTTGAAAATGTATCCTCTTCCTCTAGGTCATCCAGCTCCTCTATCAAATCGGCGCCAAACTCAGATAGATCGTTGAATCTTAGGCCAGCATTTGCTGCTGCTGCGTTTCGTGCCTCTTCCAGTGCTTTGCTGGACGCTTTGGTGAGCGATGGCCTGTTCTTGGTCATGGGCTCCCTGGTGGTAAACGATCTGCCCTCAAGGCTTGGGCGTAACATGCCCCTTTCGCCCTCTAGGCGTCCGGACGCCTTAGCTTCCGCTTGCAGCGCCAGTTCTCGCTCGCGGTTCTTCTCTAGCAGCGCACCTCCGAGAGTGGCGCACTTGAGAATGGTTTGGATGAGCTGGTTCTGCTGCAAGGGCTTAGACAGGTACTCGTCCATCTGGGCTTGAATACACTTTTCACGATCACCCATCATAGCGTGGGCTGTGAGAGCAATGATGGGAGTTCTGTGTGTTCCCATGCCACGCTCGTATTCACGGATCTTGCCGGTGGCCTCAAATCCTCCCTGTTTGAAAAGAGTTAGCTCATGGCAGCAATTAGATGGGTTCTGCGTGAAGTTTACTACTTACCATGATGGGCATCTGAACATCCATGAGAATCACATCAAACTTCTTCTGCTTCACGGCCTCGACAGCCTCCCAGCCGTTGCCCACAACAGTGACAACGTGGTGGTATTTCTCAAGAATCTTCACGGCCAGTTTCTGGTTGACCGTGTTATCCTCAGCAAGGAGGATCTCAAATGACTTGGTAACATCCGCGAGAGATGGCGTGGCTCTGTTCTCCAGGGCGGGGATCATGCCGTTGCTCAAGTCAATCAGCTTGCATGGCATTGTCATGTAAGACGTGATGCCCAGGTCCAGACAGGATTTCAAGCTGACGTGAACCACGGGAGCAAGCAGGACAATAGGAAGGTACTTAAAGTCATCTACCGCTCTCAATCTCCTAGCAGTATCAATTGAGTCAACGATGATGGCATCATACGGCAAAGCGCCGCCCTCCTTAAGGCGAGTAAGAGCCGAGCTCTTTTCGGAATTAACGACAACGGGGTGTAGCCCGATCTCTTCCAGCATTTCTCCAATGTGGGTGGCCGCATTTGACTGCGACTTGTCGACAAAGAGGACCTGGTGGCCGCGGTAAGGCTTCAGTTGCTGCTGAACGCTTTCTGCGTGCACATCGGCGAGCTTCACGCGACAAGTAAAGTGGAATTCGCTTCCCTTGCCGACCTCGCTGTTAACCCAAAGGTCTCCGCCCATGAGGTTGACGAATCGCTTTGAAATGGACAAGCCCAGACCTGTTCCACCAAACTTGCGTGTCATTGAACCATCGGCCTGCTGGAAAGTGTCGAAGATGAGGTTGAGCTTGTCCTTAGCAATGCCAATTCCAGTGTCCTCCACAATGAATTCAATGGCGTATTCGCCAGGACCGACATGCCTCTTATCTTCTTGTTCTTGAATGGTTAAGCTGACCTCACCGTGCTCGGTAAACTTGATGGCATTGCCCACCAGGTTCAGGATAATCTGTCTCAGACGGAACGAATCTCCGATGACGTAGTCAGGCACGGAGCTGTCTACCTTATAGGTAAGATCAAGGAACTTCTCGTTCGCCTTGACTGCGAGAGTCTTTAGCGCATTAAAGACTGTGCCTCGCAGCGTATACGGGATCTCTTCAATAACCATTCTCCTAGCTTCAATCTTGGACAAATCCAAGATGTCGTCAATGATGGTCAACAGGCTGTTGGCAAGATCATTGACAATGTTTAGCATTTCTCGCTGGTACTGGGTCAAATCGGTATCCAGAGTGAGCTGCGTCATTCCAATAATACCGTTCATCGGAGTTCGAATCTCGTGGGACATGTTTGCGAGGAATTCGGACTTGGTCTTGTTGGCTAATTCGGCAGCCTCTCGAGCCTGCGTGTTCCTCTGGATACTGTCTCTCAGATTTGATATCATCTGGTTAATCTTCTTCTTGAGCTCGTCCATTTCGCCAGAGGCCTCCACATCGACAAGCTTGGTGAAGTCGCCGTCCGTAGCCAAGTTTGTGATATCAGAGAAGGCACGCACTTGAGTGGTCTAAAACATGCGTCAGTACTTGGAACCTTCTCGAGACAAGGGAAATCTGCACTGCGGGTGCACAGGTGGTGGCTTACCAAGTTGCTGGCCATAGTGTTGACATCAGTAGTAATTTCTTTCCATCGTCCGTTCAGCCCAGCTACATCTGCTTGAGCTCCCATCTTGCCATCGACACCGACATCCTTGGCAACTCGTTGCACTTCGTAACAGAAGCTTGATAAACGGGAAACCATGTTGTTGATGGTCTCTTTCAGCACTTGTATCTCACCATTTGCCTCCACATCAATTGTTTGACTCATGTCTCCGTTGGCAATGGCCTGTGTGACAGCAGAGATACTTCGCACCTAGAACATGGTTAGCCTATGAACACAGCCTGCAGTCCTCCAGGAGAACGATCGGAATATGACAGATTCCAAGGGGGGGTAGTGGCATGACATACCTGGACAGTGAGATTCGACGCCATTGTGTTGACATTTTCAGTTAGATCCTTCCACTTGCCCTCAACATTGGCCACCTGGGCCTGGCCACCAAGCGTACCATCTGTACCGACTTCTCGGGCCACTTTGCTCACTTCAACGGCGAATGTGCCCAGGCGGTCCACCATCTGGTTGATAGTGTTCTTGAGTTCCAAAATCTCTCCCTTGACTTCGACCCCAATCTTCTTGGTAAGATCACCCCTGGCGACAGCCGTGGTAACCTTGGCAATCTCTCGCACTTGTGTCGTCAGATTCATGGCCATGCCGTTGACGTTTTCAGTAAGATCTCTCCATGTGCCCTCAACGTCATGAACAGTGGCTTGACCACCAAGACGACCTTCAGTTCCGACTTCTCTGGCAATCTTTGTAACTTCGCGAGCGAATTGCTGCAGCTGATCAACCATGGAGTTGATGGTAGACTTGAGCTTGAACATTTCTCCTCTGCATTCGGCTTGGACTTTCTGTGTGAGGTCTCCCTTGGCGACAGCTGTTGTGACCTTAATAATATCTCGCACCTGAGTCGTCAAGTTGTTTGCCATGGCATTGACGTTTACAGTCAGATCATTCCACATGCCCTTGACTCCACCGACATCAGCCTGGCCACCTAAGATACCCTCGGTTCCGACATCTCTGGCTACGCGCGTGACTTCAGATGCAAATGTTCGAAGTTGATCCACCATGGTGTTGATGGTCTGCTGCAACTGCAAAATTTCTCCTCTTGCTGGTCGTTCAATCTTCTTTGTCAAGTCGCCGTGCGCGACGGCTGTTGTGACGGAGGCAATTTCTCGCACTGAAGGACATGGCGTTAGATACATCACATGCATACATGGTACTCAAACGTCCTATTTGACTCAACCCAAAAATCGTTTGAGGAGCAGATAAGATAGGGGGAAGAGGAGGGCAGAAAAACGAGAGTGTCGCTATACATACCTTGATCCGTGAGATTTTGTGCCATTACGTTGACTATCCAAATATTGTCAGCTGTTGTTAACTACGATTATTACCGACCATAAGAGCCGGAATTTGACTGAAGCAGGGGGACAAGAAGGAGAACAGAAGAACAAATTAGGGCCATACCATTGTCAGTCAACTCTTTCCATACACCGTCAACACCACCAATACGGGCTTGGCCACCAAGTAGACCCTCAGTTCCGACCTCGCGAGCGACACGAGACACTTCGCTGGCAAAGGTCTGCAGCTGGTCCATCATGGCGTTGATGGTGCGCTTGAAGGTTGTGATTTCGGGGTCCATTTCGACGGAGTTCATGCGGACCTTCATGGTCAGGTCACCGCGGGCTACGGCAGTGACAATCTCACCAATCTCTCGGAGGGCCTTTTGGAAGGCCTCGTTGGCTTTCTGATGCTTCCACAGCTCTCGTTCGAGCGTGGCTACCCGC